GCCATCGCTATTGGGTTGGAGGCCATCGCTATTAGGTTGGAGCCCATCACTATTGGGTTGGAGGCCATTGCTATTAGGTTCGAGGCCATTGCTCTTAGGTTGGAGGCCATCCCTATTAGGTCGGAGGCCATCGCTATTAGGTCGGAGGCCATCGCTATTAGGTTGGAGTTGGAGGCCATTCCTATTGGGTTGGAGGTCAGCAGTGTCATTTGTTTTGTAATGTCAAAGAATTTTTTCAGAGGCCAAGCCTTCATGAAGCACAAAGCTGCCATGGAGAGTCTTTGGAAGCTCATGGAGGCCCGAATAAAGAAAGTAAATAAGTACAAAAGGGAAAGATCAAGGGGAAAGTGAACAGAGGAGAAACGAAAGAAGAGAAGAAATATGACAGATGACCAGAAAAATAGGCAAAACATAACATGTGCTTCAACTTGAGAAAGTGTTTTGGGTGGCCCACACGCCAAACGCTGTGCAACACCGGGTCTCACCGTACCCAATGTCGTAAGTCGTGGTGTATATATGTGTCCTTTTTTTCTTTTCTGTGTTTTTTATTCTTTCTCACTAGGCAAGCACACTATTAGGGGCTCCTAGCCGTACTACTAGTAACAAGAAGCTACTAGGAACAATTCAAATTAAGCACTAAGAGGAGGCAGAGGCCGTGCCACAGGCTAAAAGAAAGGAATTTCTTCAAGGAAACTCCCCGCACCCTCCTGACTTAGCTGCCACGGCCTACCGTAGAAGAACGGCTTAAACAAACCAGCAAAAGTATAATGTTTTTATTGTTGTCCCATCATTTTTCGTCTCATTTTTGTTTAATAGCCCGCTCCCCCCTCCTCCCTACTTAATTAAGTCGAGACTGCCTACCCAATTAAGCAAGGGAGAGTAAGCTTCTAGCTACTCAAGCTCCTACATATGGAAGCAGGATACCTCACGATTCTTCAAGGAAGCTCCCGGTTCCTAGATTTTTAGGAAAACGTTCCAACCTAATAGCGATGGCCTCCAACCTGCTAGCGATGGCCTCCTATTTATGATGGCCTCCAAACCAACAAAAGTACTACTCTGTTGTTGGTTTTGTGATTTGTGCGTTCCTTTTTCTGCTCGTTCGAAGTCGCAGGAGATCAAAAGTGCCCTGAGTTTGGCCTTGGACACAGCCATCGAGTGTGAGGCCCTTGAACAGCACGAGCAGAGGCCAGGTGGAGCATGCCCCAAGAAAGAATAGGAGGAGAAAGAAAGGGAGAGAACATAAACACATTACCAAAGAATGAACAAGACGACATATCACTGAATGGGTTTAAAAACAACATGTGTTTAATGTGTGTCTTAATATTTCTTCGAAGAATGCACACCATATTCGTTCGGCTCACGTGGAATGGACTCAAATCCCCAGGTTGACCGAGAGTGTTGCCGAAGCCATGAAAGAGTTGGAGGATGTCACCAAGGCGCTGAAATGATGTGGAAAGAGTTGGTGTTCTTATTTGCTTTCTCAGCAATGACCTCCAACCTAGTAGCGATGTGTTCTTGTTTGCGTCCTTTGTTATTTTTTATGTGTGTTGATGTTGTGTGCTTTCTGAATCAGCCTTCAGACTTGTCCTCTTTCCTTTCTTTCCTGTGCGGATGGATGCAGATGTTTCTGGAGGCTGTTTCTGTGGGGATTGTAGCTGGGGATTGAGCAAAACAACAAGCTGAAGCAAACCGATCTTCCGATAGTAAAAAAAGAAGGAACATGAATGAACAACTAAATATAATATATGTATATAACCATATATATATATACACATGTAAATACATATATAACGTAAATGAGCTTCTCTTGGGGGAGAGGTTACTTGAGGTCGGCTTGGTATTTGAGCTCCCTCAGCTCATTGGACCTTGACGTGCCCTGGGTGCACATTTCTGTTCCATTGAAACTCTTCAAATGTAAACAAAGGAAGGAAGGCAGGCAGGCAAGGAGGCAGGCAGGAAGGAAGAAAGGAAGGAATGATAAAGACATGATAAAGAAAAAACAGAACACAAACTCGTGATGTTTGAAATGTTGTTTTCTCTAAGCTTGTTACTCCAGTGTTTCTCAAACAAAAGGCTGATCGCAGTGGCCTTGGCCGCCATTTGATTTGGAAATGTGCTCCCCGCAAAAATACCTGGTTGTGGGCTTGCCCTATCTCAAGAATCATGGACTTGAGGAGTTTCCTCCAATTGCTTTAAGCCCTGTGGCAAGCCAATGGATCATTTTTGTTACTTTATTCCCCAAACAGGTTTACCTGTGAGGGGTTCTTACTCCTTTTAAAGGGGTGTATGCTCGGGCCGGATGATTTTGAGTTTGTCTCCGGGCTTGTGTTCCTGGCCGCATGATTTCACCCTTGTCTCCCACTTTTTCCCCAAACAGTATACTGTTAGGGGTTCTCAATGCTTTAAAGAATGGTCGCCTTGGTGCTGGATGGTCTGGTCGGGTTCCCGGCCGGCTTGTCTCCCACTTCCTTCATTTGTCTCCCAGTGCTTTTCATTTGTCTCCCAGGCTTCCTTTCATTTGTCTCCCACTTCTTTTCACTTGTCTCCCAGTTCTTTTCATTTGTCTCCCAGGCTGGGTGCTTGTGGTCGGGTTCCCGGCTGGCTTGTCTCCCACTTCCTTGCATTTGTCTCCCACTTCTTTTCATTTGTCTCCCGCTTCTTTTCACTTGTTTGTCTCCCAGGCTGGGTGCTTGTGGTGGGGTTTTCGGCTGGCTTG